CCCTCAGCCACCCCCAGGATCCCACGGGTGGTGGCTCCCTCGCACCCCCCTGAGATGTGGGCGACCCTGCATCACCCAGTCTGAGCTGGGACCTGAGCCCATTCCCCAGGGTGGGTGAGGGAGGGTGGCAGACCCCTGCCCCAGAGCCTCTCTCCAGTTCTGTCTGCAGAGGTGAAGGGAGACGTGATTAAGACTTGGCAGAAGGGCCGCCCACCCCGCTCACCCGCTCTGAGCTGGGGGCTGGCACAGCCTGGAGGCAAGGAGAGGCAGGCCTGGCACGGCGGCCAGAGCACAGTCAGCCTTTGGCGGGCGCCCCAAGAAGCCTCTGGACGTGCCCCCAGAGACCAGCACATTCCCAGCTGGCTCTGGTGCCAGCTCCTCTGCCCCTGGGGAGTGGTCAGGACGGGGCAGCTGGAGGAACAAACACTCACGGAACAGCTGCCAGGCACCAGCATCATGGTGGGGTGGGGGGAGCCACAGGAGAAGGGGGTGCCCAGCCAGGGGCAAAAATGATGGAAGCTCACATGCCCCCCGTCCATCTGTGCCAAGCCACCTGCTCACCAGGGTGACGGGGGGCCCCTCCCCCGGTGCTCCAGGCTTTTGGGGTCCTCTCCCTCTGCAGCTCTCCCCTCAGCCACGACCCATCATCCAGCCAGTACCTGCACCTGGTGGGTCCTGAACCCGGGCCCACAACAGCCCTCCCATCTGAAGCTAAGGCACTTGGCCGCAGTCCCAGCCAGGACCCCCGTCCCCCCCTCCCCGCCCAACCTGCTCCCCTTCAGGCCCTGGATCTGCCCGACTTCCCCTGGGAAGTCCCAGGCCCACCCTCAGCTTTCCCCCTCCCCATGACAGGATCCTTCTGTGGGCAACAGGAAACGAGGGAGAGAGTGTAGTGCTCCACCTTGAGCAAGGATGTATGGTCGTGGACCAGGCAGAGGCCCCGTGGAGGGCAGGGTGGAGGCCCTGGGCCTGGGAGGAGGCGGGGCTGGAGGTCCGAGACCCCCACGCTCCGAGTAAAGGGCAACCCTCTTGGGATCCCAGACTTGCTCCATCTCATAGGCTTCTCCTTGACCTCCGACGTTTTAGGATCAGGCACCCACCTGCCACAGCGGTCAAGACGTGGAGACCTCGGGCATCAGGGTCTGAGACACTTGAGGAGCATATCACAGTGAACGTTCTGGGCCCAAGTGCTGTCTGACACCCCCGTTTTGTCCCCTGGGTATTCAGAGTTGACCCTCGAGGAAACTGACAGAGGCCACTAAAGACCCGGTCACACAGCCCGGCCATGGCAGCACAGGCCCCGGGGGCCCCTGTCCTCCAGTCCCTGGCTGTGACTCTCGGAGACCCTCTGGACTTTTCACGAGCCCCTTCCTCTCAGAAGCTTGTGGCATGGCCAGGTGGGGACACAGGAACGGCGTGCCGTTAAGCAGACGTCGAGGGGACAGTGTGTAGAGCTTGACCTGAGTTAGTAAAAGTTGGGGTCTGGACATGACTGCCTGTGTGGGGTACGGAGATATAGGGGTGTCCACATGACCTGGGGGCTCTGGACTCCCACAAAGAGATCTCCATAGTAAGTGGGAGCAGGAGACGTTAAGTCACCCGTTTGCTCTTCCAAAGAAGACCCTCTGTGCCCAGGGCTTCCTGCCCCGGATCCCTTGAGAGGGGCTGGTTTGGGGTCCTCCTTTGCTTTGCAGACTCCTCACTGCCCACCCCCATGAGATTTGGGGACAATGGACAGACTTGATGTCCCACCTCTGCTTCACCCCCAGTAACTATAGGAGCCCGGACCGGGCCAGCTATCTTTCTGAACTCTGCTTTTTCTTCCGAGAAATGGGAAAAGATTCCCCTCCTTGTGATACCAGTGGGAGGGAGATCCTTCTGGCAAGGAGCTAGGCCTTGGCCCAGGAGGCGAGGGCTCTGTTCCTATCTGCAGAGAGAGGGAAGCTCTTGGCCGGGCGCAGTGGTTCTCGCCTATAATCCCAGCACTTTGGGAGGCTGAGGCAGGAGGATTGCTGGAGCCCAGGAGTTCAAGACCAGCCTGGGCAACCTGGTGAGACCTCATCTCTACAAAAAAGTAAAAAAATTAGCCAGCCATGGTGGCAAGCGCCTGGAGTCTCACTATTCAGGAAGGTGAGGCAGGAGGATTGCCTGAGACCAGGAGGCCACTCATAAGCACTTCAGCCTGGGCGACAGAGTGAGACCTTGACTCAAAAAAAAAAAAGATCTCAGTTCTGTTCCACTTGACACCCTGAAGCTGGGACATTCTGGAGGCCAAGGATCCCACAGAATCTCAGGGGGGCCAGGCCTGTGTCAACAGAGCTGCCGGCCTTTCTTCTGGTCCTGCCAGTGTCCTGACCTGGGGTGCAAGTCCCACCAATACTGCCTCCTCAAATCCCATGTCCTTGCCTTGGCTGTGGCTTCCTGAAGGCCCATACATTCCTAGTGCCCACCTGGCATGTTTGCCCTGTGGCAGGGATCAGGCTACCAAACACAAACTGAGAGGCCACAGTTCAAGGCCGGATTGATTGGGCCCCTCAACAGCCCAAGACAAGTTCTGCAGAAAGCTCAGGGGAGCAATCAGAGAAGACTTCTTGGAGGTGGTGACCCTCACACCAGCTGATTTGGCAGAGTTGAGGAAACTTCCCCAGATGGAAAGTCCCAACGCAGGTTGGGAAGAGGCAGGTAAGCGATGTTTGGAACAGGAGAAGAGGTGCTGTGACAGGTTAGCACTCAGGTCTGGCCTCGGGCAGCCTCCGAGGAACTCACCTCCGACCACGGGCTGGTATACCACTTGAAGCAGGGCCGCTCGAAGCATGTGCTCTCTTCGGGGGGCTTCTTGGCCAGCCCACACTCAGGGCCACCACGCGTCTGTGGCTTTCCGTTGGCAAGTTCCATACAGAGCACCAGCCGCTTCTTCACGCCGCGTCCGCACGTGGTGTTGCACTGAGCCAGGGACAAAGGGGGTGGGTCAGCCCGGGAGGACTGAACACGCGTGGCCCATAGGGACTCTGGTGACAACGGTTTGGTCGATAGCAATTGGGTGAGAACGCTTCTATTGGCGGCTAAGTGGCTGAGAACTCTGTGTCCGATAACCACTTGGCTCCAAATGGATCTGATCAAGAGCAATTTAGCACAAAACCATCTGTTTTGAAACAAATTGGCTAATAACAATTTGGCCAACGATGATTTGGCCAAAATCAATTTAGCAGAAAACAATCTGGCCCAAGATTATCTGGTTAATGGTAGTCTGCCTGAAGCTGTCGGTTGAAAGCAATTTGTTCGAGTGCAATTCGTCTGAAATGGCAGGTTGGTGACGATGGCGGGCGGGTCGCCATGACAGGCTGGTCACACTGAAAGGTTGCACAGGCCCCTGGACCCAAAGCAAACGCAGCCCGAACATCGGTAAAAGAACCTCGGGGCCCAGGTGGGGCAATGCCAGCCCTGAGTCACCACTTAGTGTCTGCTGTGCAGATTTGGGACACTGTAAGGTGTTTTCCTACCTTTCTGGCTTTCTGCATTTTAAATTGATTTTTAGGAAATTGTGCCTCCGCCGTTTGCAATCCGCTCCTCGTTCTCACCCATCTGTCGTCCCAGCCACTTGGCTCTCGGGCCAGTCCTCTCCGGCCAACGCTCTCCAGGGGGTGGGAGGCCCTGCGCGCTAGGACACTCACCCGCTCCCAGTCCTGGGCCAGCCAGTGGGCGGGACAGTTCTTGTCCCCGCAGGGGTGGATGGCCAGGGGCTTGGTCTCCATCTGGCACTGGGACTCAGGCACCACACGTCCGTCGCTGGTCTTGCAGTACACATGCCTGATGGTGCGGCCCTGCCCACAGCTGCCGCTGCACTGCAGGAGGGAGGGAGCAGGCGGGGGACACCGGGTGAGGGGCGGGGGCCACTCTACAAGGCTCACCCCCCTCCCCACTGGACGCCAACCCCGAGGGAGAGGAGCTCCCCAGGCAGTGTGTGGAAGCGGTTGCCGTGGTGACCATTTTTAAAATAACATTTTCTGTTCTAATTACAGAAGTAATGCGTGTTCCAAATACCCGGAGAAAAGCACACCTAAAAAGGTCATCTGTGCACCCACCACCCAGAGGGGACCCCGGCTGGCATTTCTCTTCCAGATGAGAGAGACAGAGACACAAAGATAAGGAGAAAGACACGGGCAGAGAGACAAAGTCATAGACAGAGACAGGAAGAGAGACACAGAGAGATAAACACGCAGAGAGAAGAGACAGGGAGAGAGATACAGAGAGGGGGAGAGATACAGAGAGAAACAGAAATACAGAGATAGCGAGAGAGACAGCGAGAAAGACACAGAGAGACAGAGACAGGGAGAGAGACTTAGATGCAGACAGAAACACAGAGACAAGGACAGAGACAGACAGAAACACAGAGACAGGGAGAGAGATATAGAGAGAGACTGAAACACAAAAACAGGGAGAGAGACAGAGAGAGAAGCAAACACAGAGACAGGGAAAGAGACACAGAGATACAGAGACAGAGGAGAGATACAGAGAGAAACAGAAATACAGAGATAGCGAGAGAGACAGCGAGAAAGACACAGAGAGACAGAGACAGGGAGAGAGACTTAGAGGCAGACAGAAACACAGAGACAAGGACAGAGACAGACAGAAACACAGAGACAGGGAGAGAGATATAGAGAGAGACTGAAACACAAAAACAGGGAGAGAGACAGAGAGAGAAGCAAACACAGAGACAGGGAAAGAGACACAGAGATACAGAGACAGAGGAGAGATACAGAGAGAAACAGAAATACAGAGACAGGAAGAAAGACACACAGAGAGAGACACAAAGACAGAAAGAAAGACACAGAGACAGACCAGAAACACAGAGATAGGGAGAGAGACACAGAGACAGGGACAAGGAGAAAGACATAGAAAGACAAAGAGATAGAGATGGAGACAGGGAGACAGAGAGAGACACACAGAGACAGAGACAGGGAGAGAGACAGAGAGAGACACACAGAGAAACATACAGAGATAGAGACAGGGAGGGAGACCCAGAGAGAGACAGAGACACAGAGAACAGAGACAGGGAGAGAGACACAGAGAGACAGACAGAGGTTATAAAGGGGAATGGGACATTGGCCGTTGACTTTCGGTGGTTTGCATTCCTATGTTAGCTCGGTGAAGTATTCTTCCCTCGTCCTTGCTCCGGAAAAATGGGGAAACTGAGGCACATGGAGGCAAGGCCCTAGGGTCCTCTCTCACTAGCCTCCTGCCCTGACCGCCCCTAAAACAGGCCCCCGGGCCCCGCCCTCACCGGTCCCCAGTCGGAGACGGTCCACTGCCGGTCGCAGGGGGGGCCCGTGCAGTTCTTCTTGCCCACAGGACGGGTGTTGGGGTCACACAGCTTCTCATCCTCCGAGCAGCGAATGTCCCTGGTCACCACACTGCGCTCCCCACACTTGGCCGTGCACTGCGAGGAAGCCAGGGCGGCAGGGTGGGCGTCACGGTGCAAAGGAGACTCCCAGGCTGCGGCGCCCTGGGCTGGCCCCGCCCTGCTCACCTCCGACCACTCGGACATCTCCCACTGGGGCCCGCAGGCCGGGTTCCGGCAGGTCTTGCGCTCCTCGGGCCTCACGGCCTCGGCCGCCTCACACAGGTCGCTGTACACCGAGCTGTCAAAGCCGGGCGACAGCATCTTCCAGCAGCGCACGATACGGAACTGGTAGCCCTCGCCGCAGGTGCGTGAGCACTCGCTCCAGCTGCTGGTCTCCCACCTGCCTCGGGAGGGGACGGCCTTCAGCAACGACCTCCCGCTGGGTGGCCGGGACCCCTAGAGGCAACACAGCCCCCTCCTCCTAACTGTGACAGGCTAAGCCAGACAGGAAGCCGGTGAGGCCCTAGGGTGCAGACCTCTGGGGTCTTTAGGGAGCACCCACAGGGTGGTGGGGGCGTCCTGAGTATGCCATGGCCCTCTTGTCCCAACGTGCTCTGCTGTGTCACACAGGTGTCTGTGGCCCCCCGGGACTCTGAACAATGAACAGAAGACATGTTTCTGGCTCTGTGTCCAGAGAGAGGGCATTTCTAGCATGCCAGGGCAGACCCCTGGTTTCCTCGCTGGACAGGGTATGGGCCGGGCCCCAGACTTTGGAAAGACAGATTTGGAATAAGAGGACTACATGGCCGGTGAGGCTCCCAGGGGAAGGGAAGGTCCCGCCAGACCTCACCCCAGGCCAGCAGGCAGTGCTCTGGGGATGGCTGTGGCTTTTCTGCCCTTCCCAAAAAGGAGCAAAGTGCTCAGGGATCAGGGGGCCCCCGGTGCAACAGGCTGGAAGGGAAGAGGAAGCCTGGCTGCTGTGCAGGGGACAAGAGGGCTTGGTCACTGAGGGGCAGCTCTTCTTGGAGCGGGACAATTGGTGGCCGCAGGATCATCTGAGGACCCTGAACCAACTCCCACCCTGATCCTCGCTGGAGGGAGGATGAGCTCAGGGCACTGTCTGTGTCTGCCAGGCAGAGCAGAAGGCCTGAGGGGCTAGAAAGAGGGGGCCCCCCACCCACATCCGAGGGACAGCCAGTTGGCGTGGAATTTCAGGAATAAACCCTTTTGGCTTATAAAAGTCACCATGTAGGCCTGGGGGGCGGGGATGCAAAGATATCACTCTAATAGAGAGTAGCGTGAGAGTGGTTTCTAAATCCACAGTGGCAAGCATTTATTGAGCATCTACTGTATGCAAGGCAAAGTGACAGATTATACTGCAAATCCTGGGAAAACCCAGGACTCTGAGGGGCGGGGTCCCCATGCCCGTCTTGGAAAAGCCCCCACGGGCCCGTCCACAAAGCACCTTTAAGAGCCAGGACATGGCTGGGCTCGGTGGCTCAGCCTGTCATCCCAGCACCTTGGGAGGCCGAGGCGAGTGGATTGCCTGAGCCCACGGGTTCCAGACCCGCCCGGGGAACTTGGCGAGACCTCGTCTCTACAATAAATCAAAAACTAGCCGGGTGTGGTAGCTCATGCGTGTAGTTCCAGCTACTCGGAAGGCTGAGGTGGAAGGATCGCCGGAGCCCAGCAGGTCGAGGCTGCGGTGGCCGGGAGGGGCCACTGTACTCCGGTCTGGGCGAGAGTAAGACTCCAACTCAAAAAAAAAAAAGAGCCAGGACATGACATTGGACTGCGCCTACGGGCGGAGCCCCTGCACACCTCCCACCCCCAATACCCCTCCCGGGCCCTCGGTGGCAGGTACCTGGGTTGGCACTCCCTCCCAGCACAAAATTCGTGCACAGGCTCGGGGCGGGTCAGGGCATCACAGTAGCTGTCATCCACCTCCACACCATCGTAACGGACGCACATGGCGTATGTCGACATGACCCCTGGGATCAGGACAGAGAAGGACGCGTGAGCCACGTGGTAGACAGGCAGCACCCTGGAGGCCAGCAGATAAGCTTCGGGACTTAAGTCGCCCAGCCCCCCAGAGCCCAGCCTCCTGGTCTGGGGGTCACAACAGTTCACTTGCTTATGAACTGCTGGGTGAGGGCAGCTCTGTGGGTGTGGCTTTCCGATTCACAGCTCCCATGCCACCCCAGTTCATATGTCACAGACCCCGGGCGTTGGCCCTTACAGAGGTAAATTCAGCCCCGTGTCCCCTGTTGCTACTCATTCAACAACCACAGGTCTCTGGGTGGATGGGAAGCTTCCCCATTGGTCTAACCACCCCAGGCCGAGGTCCTGGCAGGGCACAGAGCAGGGAGGGGTTAATGACGCTCCCAGGGGCGTCTGCACAGACGCAGGTGACACTCACGTTCTGTAAAGCCTGCCACTGCCCTGGCCTGGCCTCAGCACCCCACAGAATGGGGTTTCCAGAGTAGCTGAAGCCACAAGCATTGAATTTGAGTACCAAGAGCACATACAGCCTCTTGGTGGTGACGCTGCCCTGGGAGGCATGGAGGCCGCAGTTGCGAGGCAGCCAGCCTTGTGAGTGGAGGCCCTGATTCTACACTGTTCATTTCTTTCTGGTGCCACGCAGGCCTCACTGGGCACTTCTTATGGTGACAGGGAACTAACCCCCGTTCTTTCTCTCTGTCTCTCCTGTCTCCCTGTCTCTGTCTCTCCTCTGTCTCTCTCTCTTTCTCTCTAACCTTCCAGCCCTCGCCAGCCTGCTCAGAGGCCATGCTGGATGTTCAGGAGCTCCACCCCTAGCCTCCTGTGGCAGGCCTGGGCCTTGTCCGTCGTCTTAAACTTTCTTCCTTCTTCTCTCTCCCTCTTTCTGTCTTTTTCTTTCTTGAATTGAAGTCTTACTCTCATCCAGGATGGAGTACAGCAGTGCAATCACAGCTCACCGCAGCTTCGGCCTCCTGGGCTCAGGTAATCCTTCTGCCTCAGTCTCCCAAGTAGCTAGGACTACAGGAGGGCACCACCACGCCCGACTGTTTTGTTTGTAGAGATGAGGTCTTACTGCTGCCCGGGTTGGTCTCGAACTCCTGGGCAAGCGATCCTCTCCCCTCGGCCTCCCGAAGTGCTGGGATTCAGGTGTGAGACACTGCACCCTGAGACTTTTTGTGATCATCACAGTGTGTGTTTGTTTCTGTCAGCACCCAGTACTTTCCTGTAAATCCCACTGGGGCGGTGGGCAAAAGGTAGCCCTCACCTGGCTGTGTCCCTTCCTCGACCACAGCTCCACCTTCCTTATCTCCTGTCTCCCACACCCTCGCCTAGCATGTTGCTGCCAAGGAGCAGGATGACCCAGGGAGAGTCATCGGCAGTGGGAAAGACCTCAGGGTGGGGCTGGGATTTGCTGCCGGCGTGTGAGACGGAGAGAGACAGGCCCAGCCTTCCCGGACGACGGGCACGGCGGGTAGTCCCGGCTGCGGCTGCCAGTGCCCCCGGGAGGAAATCGACGTCCCCATCCACGGCAAGCCCAGCCACCCAGAGGCGCGTGTCTGCAAGCCAGCGGCTCCTGTCTCTCCAAGCCCCAGCCCTGGTGGAACAAAACGGCCTGGGACGCAGCCGACACCGGGATTTTTTTCTCTTTTTCCGTAAAGGACGAGCCAGGCTGCAATCACGGGTCCCCTCCTGCCAGCGCTAGGCTGTGCAGCCTTAGCCTTCTCAGAGGGGGAGGCTGGCTTCCTGGCCAGGTCTGCTTGGAATGTTCCAGGCCTCAGAGACACCAGTTCTGGGGCCCAGGGAGGCACGGGCTCCAGGACGTGCAGACCCTCGCCAAGTGCCTGAGTATTCTTGTCATCAAGGGAACGCAGCGGGCCTTGGTCTAGAGAGGCTGGAATCCAAGTCCCAGCTCAGTGTTCCTCTCCGGGCCTCAGTCTGCTCATCCCTGAAATGGGAACCGTCCAGAGCCTGTAAGAATCGTATGGTCCATTTTCTGAACACCCTGTGTGTCATTTGGAAAACAGTACTTTCCAAACCTTAGCTACCAGCCCCTATAAACGAAAGTAAGCAGGCGGCCAGGTGCAGTGGCTCAGGCCTGTAATCCCAGCACTTTGGGAGGCCAAGACGGGAGGATTGTTTGAGCCCAGGAGTTCAAGACCAGCCCGGGCAACAGAGCAAGACCTTGTCTCTCCAAAAAAATCAGCCGGATATGGTGGTGCTTACCTATAGTCCCAGCTACTCGGGAGGCTGAGGTGGGAGGATCACCTGAGCCCGGGAAGCTGAGGCATGATTGTGCCACTGCACTCCAGCCCAGGCAACAGAGTGAGACCCTGACTCAAAAAACAAACGAGCAGAAAAGTGAGCGAGTGCCCCCATGTGGGACACAGTTGAGGTGGGCTCACTCCACTCAGGAGAGAGAGGTGACCCCGGCACCCACTGGCTCCCCTTCCCTCACTGTGCCCTGGAGAGACTGGGGGGTGCAGTTTGAAAACCACCACCTGTGACCAAACAGAGGGCAGACTCGAGCCCCACATGGCTGCCACTCCAACGGGGGTCTGAAAGAGTCAGCAAAACGGGGTGCCCACTGTGGATAAAGCCCAGGGTAAGTAGACACATTCCCCATGGGTCTAACCATGGATCTGGGCTCCTGGCAAAGCATGTGGCGGGGTGAGGTGGGCCCGAAGACGCTTAGATAACACTCGAGTTCCGTAAATCCCGGTACCGCCCCAGCGTGGCCTCAGCACCCCACAAGACGGGGTTTCCAGAGTGGCCAAAGCCATGAGCACTGGATTCGAGCACCAAGAGTGTCTATAGCCTCCAGCACAGCATGGTGAGGCCACCCTGGGAGGCAAGGAGGCCAGAGCCGCAGGGCAGCCAGTCTGGGAAAGTGGAGACCCTCGCCCCTGTACTGGTCATTCCTGCCCAGTGCCCGCTCGCTCTGTCTCTCTCCTCTCTCTCTTCTCTCTCTCCTTTCTCTGTCTCTCTCTGTCTCTCTCTCTCTCTCTTCCCCTCCTCCTCTCCCTCCCCTCCATTTCTCCCTCCTTCCCTTCCCCCCTCTCTCCCTCCTGCACACCCTCCCTCTCTCTTTCCTTCTCTCTCTCCCTCCCTCTTTCTCCCTCCCCCCACTCTCCTCCCTTCCCCCTCCCCTCCTTGCCTCCCCATCCCCGCTTAGCTCCTGCGGTTCCTGGTTCCTTCTCTCTCTGGCAGCCTCTTCTGAAGCAGAGCTGTTCCTTTCTTCCTCTTACTGGCACCCAATAGCACTTTCTTCTGTCTTTTCCCTTTTGTCCCACTTGTACCTTGGGCCACACGGACAGACCCTGTCCCCAACCCCCACCCCCCACCCCCAGTAGCTTTCTGCTGTTGGGAGAGGTACAGTCCCAGGCTGTCCATCAGGCCCCTGAGACTGCTTCACATAAGGGACATCCCCAGCCGGTGACATGTCAGGGAGGAAACACAGATGCTCCCAGACACTTTATGACGATGGTGACAGCACCCGCACACTTGGAGTCCCCGGCCAGGATGTGGGAGGAACTCAGGGAGGCCCACAATGGCCAAGCAGACACCTGAGCACCCCACCATCAGGCTCAGCCCCCTCGGGACAGCCCCGTGGAAAGCGGGTCCAGGGTCACTTCCGACACCAGCCACTCTCAGCATGCTCACATCTGCACCTTGCGCCAGGCACAGTCACAGCAGCGCGCCCATTTGTTGAGCACCGAGCCCGACAGTCTATTTCTTGCTCCCCACCAATCCCCACACTACCCCTGAGATAAGTATGTGTCCCATTTCACACGTGGAAAACCGAGGCTCAGCGACTTTCGGAGGGCACGCAGGTGGTCTACCAGACGGCACCAGCCCAGCACTCACCGCGCAGCCCACAGAGCTTGCTTTGTCCTCTCCAAGATGCTGGATACAGGGGCGAACTCAGTGCCCCCGTGCCCTACTCGGGGACTCTCGTGACAGGAGGGAAAGCCCGGTCTTCAGCCCAAGAGGCAGGGCTGGGGTGAGTAGAATGTAAAGGCTTATGGTCCATTCAGACCCAGCAGGGCCACCACCCTCTCTAGAGCCCAGCTCCTGAGATGCCAACCAGGACTGTAAACAAGCTCAGACTGCCTCACCGCCCTGCATCTTCACTGACCAGGACAGCAGGGCCATCTAAAGCCCTGGCCAGGGTTGAGGGTGCCAGGGTGGGGCCAGGAGAACCATACATTTTTTTTTTGAGTCAGAGTCTTACTCTGTTGCCCAGGCCGGAGTGCAGTGACACGATCACGGCTCACTGCAGCCTCAACCTCCTGGGTTCAAGTTATCCTTACGCCTCAGCTTCCCAAGTAGCCAGGAGTACAGGCATGCTCCACCATACCTGATTAAGTTTTCCCTCTTTTGTAGAGACGAAGTCTCGCTCTGTTGCCCAGGCTGGTCTCAAACTCCTGGGTTTAAGCGATCCTCCTGCCTTGGTCTCCCAAAGTACTGGGATTACAGGTGTGGGCCACTGCACCCGGCTACACCATGTATTGAGAGGGGGCAGCCAGGCATTATCTATACCCAAACATGAAGCACTAAGTCTAGACAACGTGTAGCCTCGGAGCCATCCCTGGGACTCTCCCTACGATTTCTCCCCTGCCAGTGCACCCGCCTCCTGGTCCTGGGTTTGACATCTGGCCTTGCAGCATCCTCCAGGGAGGGCACCAGAACAGGTGGAGGGGGCAGCCCCAGCCCTCTGTGTCTGCAGCCAGTGTTTCAGTGTAGTGGTGGCTGGCCTCACAACCAGATAGCCATGGGTTCAAATCCCAGTTCAGTGTTTACTAGGCACATGGATCTGTCTGTGCAGGCACCCCAAGGGAGTCTCTTTTCCCTCCCAACCCTTCTCTTGCTGACAAGATCCTAGAATTTGACCCATCCCCTCGGTTGTAGACCACAAGTATCTATTTCTTCCTTCCAATGTTTGCTGTCAACAAAAATAAAACAAGCCGGGCACAATGGCTCACATCTGTAATCCCTACACTTTGGAAGGCCAAGGCAAGAGGATTGCTTGAGCCCATGAATTGGAGACCAGCCTGGGAAACACAGCAAGACCTCATCTCTACAAAAAAATCAAAAAATCAGCCAGGCATGGTAGTACATGCCTATACTCAGGAGGCTGAGGTGGGAGAATTTCCTGAGTCCAGAAGGTTGAGGCTACAGGGAGCCCTGATCATGCCACTGCACTCCAGCCTGGGCGATGGAGTGAGATCCTGACCCCAAAAACAAATAAATAAAATCCTTACCATGTGAGATTTTTCATTTGTAACCCAAACAAGACATGACACGAATAGCAACAGACAAGAGAACATGGGGGAGCGGGGTTGGCCTGGGTGACCCTGGGATCCTGGGCCTGACCCAGATCTGTACACCATGAGGACAAGGAAGCCTTCACCCAACACCCAACTCCTGTCCATGCCACACTGCTTCCTGGGGTCAGGAAGTTACCAGACAAGCACTAGCTAGCAGATGGGCCCCACCTAGCCCCTGCTTGCATCACCCTGGAGGCAGGCTCAGAGCAGGGGCTGTCTGTCGGTCCCCTGGAACCGGTACCTGTGGTGCAGGTGGCACTGCAGGGCTCGTGGGACGACAGCTTCCACCGGTACATGTCTGCTGGACTCACACCTTGCTTGCGTGCCTTGGGCCTGGTCCTGGAAGGGAAGTCAAGCAGAGGAGGCAGTGAGAACTCCAGGACTCACTCGCGGGCTCTGCCTTTTGGGGGAGTGAGCATTCCTGGGCGGGTGCATTCTCTATAACACATGCCTGTCCTGAGCCTATGGGCAGAATCCATGCACACCAGGGTCACAGCTCCCACTGCCTGAAGCTGGACAGGACAGAGCACGTTTAGGACTGAATAGATACTGGCATTTTTTCCATCTCAATAACCACATTGGCAAGGCACGGTAACTCACGCCTCTAATCCCAGCACTTTGGGAGGCCAAGGCGGGAGGATCGCTTGAGTCAGGATGGAGACCAGCATAGGCAGTACAGCGAGACTTTGTCTACAATAAATCTAAAAATTAGCCAGGTGCAGTGGCAGTTTCGCAGGAGGATTGCCTAAGCCCAGGAGGCAATGGGTGAGCCGTGATCATGCCACTGCACTCCAGCTTGGGTGACAGAGTGAGATCCCAACTCAAAAAGAAAAAAAGAAAAGAAAAAAGAACTGCCTTGACCCTGCTAAAGCTTCTTTGTGGGGGCACACTGAGGAACTCAGGGCCCATCGGCCTCGTCCGGGGCCTCCTACACACACACAGCCTTCTCGCTATCGGACCAGCTAGGGGCTTCCTTCTCCTCGCCCGGGAAGGGACCTCGGAGGGCGTCTTATGTGCTGAGAATGCTCCACAGCTCTGGTCTCCTACCTCCCACTGCTGGGACTCTGATCAAACAAGGGGGGGGGCAATTGCCATTCAGCCTCCAATTATCAAAATAAAAAAGCCCCAGCTGCAGACAGGGGTGTGGCCACGGCCCACGTGGCAGCTCAGGTCCGTGAGGCCACACACACCCGCTGGGGGGGCGGCAGGCTGGGTCTTGGCCAGCCACCGGCTATGATTCTTGGCCGGAACTCGGGCAGCCAAAGCCAACTATTGTTAGGACTGTTTGCTTCTTTGAACCGGTAGGTGTGCCTGGGCCCGGCCTCCACATCCAATATGCAGGCGCATTCTGGGCTCAGCAGGGGAGGAGGGGAAGCCAAGGAAGACAGACGGCGGCGGCAGCTCCAAGACACAGCCATGGAGTTCTGTGGCCCCCAAGCCAGAGAACTGCAGGTCCTTTGAGCCTCCGCCTCCCTTTTTTTCTTTTTCTTTCTTTTATTTATTTTATTTGTTTGAGCCAGGGCCTCACTCAGTCACGCAGTCTGGAGTGTAGTGGCATAATCACAGCTCACCGCAGCCTCCAGCTCCTGGGCTCAAGCGATCCTCCTCCCTCAGCCTCCTGAGTAGCTGAAACTATAGGTATGCACCACCAGGCCCAGTTAATATTTTGATTTTTTGTAGAGACGAGGTCTTGCTGTGCTGTCCAGGCTGGTCTCAAACTCCTGGCCCCAAGCCATCTTCCTTCCTCAGCCTCCCAAAGTGCTGGGATTACAGGCGTGAGTCACCATACCCTGCCTTGACCTCCCTTTTAAACTGGACTGTGCAGTGAGCTGCACTGCCCAACACCACTTTCCTCCGGGCTGAGAGGGGCTGGCTAGGGATGATTTCGCCCTGATATCCTCCACAGGCTTAAATCTGGCCCAATCAACAGGTCCTTTCTTCCGGACCTTCAGTCACTTCGGTGGTCCAGCTTAAGGGGTCACAGGGCCTTACATCCTGAAAGGATTCCTAGTTGATTCTGCGATGGAGACGTGGTTTGGATGGAACTGAGAGTTAACAGTCCGTGAAACCAATGGGTGGGAGTCACTATTAGGTTTTGCTTGGACTGGGCTTCTAGTTGTTGGGAGGACCCCAATGCCAGGTAGAGCTTGGGGATGAAGGTGGTGACAGTGCATCTGAGACCCCAGAAATGACTAATGCAGCACCTAGACCTAAGGAGGAAGGGATGGAGGGAGGAGAGAAAGGAGGGAGGAGGAAACCCAAAAAGGGTGGCAGTCCAGGGGGTGGAGGCTTGATCTCATTGTCCATCAAAGCCAGCAGGGCTTCCCTCACCTGGGGGCTTCAAGCCAGGAACATATTCCTGCCCCATCACAGATTCCAGGGGGAATAGGAAGGTACCCTCTCCCTCCTTAAAAATAAGAGCAGGCCAGGCGCCGCGGCTCATGTCTGTCTTTTTTTTTTTTTTTTTTT